GTGAACTGTGGAGAAAGAGGGTCCGTTGTCTTTCCCTGTGCTGTCACACACTGCCTGGCTGAAACTTCCTCCACAGGGGATCTTTGTGCTGCCCTGACTGGCGTCAGTCAAAGAGCAAGCCTAGAAGTCTCACGCCCCAGCAAGGCCAAGGCCGTGGCTTTGGAAAAGCACTTACATGGCAGCGCGTTCCACCAGGGTCTTGATGAGCTGCAGGAGGTGAGTGGAGATGACAGAGAGAGAATTCCTCATGAAGAGCTTCAAGTCAGTCACAACCTGTATGAGATTGGCCACAGTCAGTCAAAGCAGAATGCGACATAATTAGTGACTGGCCACTTTTACTGCAAAGTAAATCACTTCTTGTTCTGTGTGATGGGAAGGTGCATCTTCTTCTCATGATTTCGTCTTTTTCATCTGGCACAGTCACTGTATCTTGCTCTCCAGGAAGAGAGCCAAAGGCTGTTCTGTTCTGAGGGCTCCTGAAGTGAGGTTGGGGATGAGTACAAAGGTGCATAAAAAGATTCTGTACATACCTGATCATTCCTGAACTTCTCCCAGTGTGCAGCTTTCCAGCTACGTCTCCAATCAGCTCCTGAGGACAAGAGGAGGATTTCTGTCAGTGTCTCTGTATTGTGAGGAGGAGACTCCACATGAGGAGACCTCCTACCTGCCTGGAAGGGACTCAGGTCTAAGATCCTGTGAGTAGCCACGGGATCTCTTCTGGGAAAGAGCATGTTTGGGTTCTATGCTTATAGAGTGCCTCTTCCACAAAAGGGGTCTAGGAGACACTTCATTGTGCACCTGGGGTTTCAGTGCCACAAGGTCCAGAGGAATTCCACAGGGGCACAATTACGTAACATCACGCAGATGTAGCTACAGAGGAACGGGAATGAGAGGTTAGAGGACCCAAACCTTTAGTCTGCGTTCGTTGGCAGTGTGGATATCCTCATCGCTTTGTTTCACCACAAAGACTCCTTTAGACCATTCCTCAGAGATCTACAAACATCAGCAGAAACAGCAGTCAGCCACTACGGTTACCCTGCTGCACTTGGGGTTTGTCCGTGTCCCCAGCAAACAACAACAACTGCCCTCGCAATGGAAATCAATGTTAAGTCTCATGTGGTCTCAGTCCAAGGCGAAGAATATCCAGATATTCTATACTGCACATGGTGGGATTCACCTCTCTGTCCATGCTGATTCTGCAGTGTTATGGCTATAGGAAGGTTTAAGCATAGCAACAAAAATGTGAGCTGAAGAGTCAGTGATTACTTTAGCAATGTCCACAAAGATTTCCTATACAAACATTGTATAGAGTCACCATTGTCCATGGTGGATGAGCAACAACAATGGATATTTGAAAAAAGCGCTTAGCTGTGGACTTCTCTTCACCCCTATACAATGCTATGCATTGCCTCCTGCTAACTGGGGCAGCCAGACTCAAAAGGATCCCAAGTGCCAGCAGAAAAAGAATATTCCTGATTCATGCGGAAACAATTCCTGGTGAATGTTCAGTCTGAAGAGGATGGGCGGGCAGGTCACACTGAGCACATCTCACCGAGGCCCCGGGGCTGCTGTCGTGAGCATTGACAATGTGCTCGCAACAGGGGTCTTGTCAGCTGGCTCACATCCTACTGCCGGGCTTTGGTGCCTTTAGCAGGATGCAATTTGGGCAGCGATCCCTTGCCCTGATTGTCACCAGGAGTACTGAGGGGAACTCAGAGAGACTACTACAGGTGCTGTCAGAAGAGTAGCCATTGATTCCAGCACACATGACAGATGTGAAGAAATAAATACCTTTTCTAGGCCACTCATGATCTTCTCCAGCTCAGGTTTAGATAGGATCCCACACTTCTCCAATGCTTTGGCATAAGCCATGCTCCCCTGGATATCAACTTCAGACAGTCTCTGATCATAGGTAATGGAAGCGCTGAGCATCTCCATGACTGGATCTCTGCTTCCGACAAACCTTCCTGCCATCATTTTATCCCCCTGCAAGTAATGAAGTTAAGAGGCATGTTCAAAAGACTTACTGGTATTTTCCCTAAAAATCAGTTAATGTCTGTCCCACTCCTTATCAAGTAAAACCAAGGACATACTTAGGAATGTTTGTTTCAGTGCTGTGCCCTTGAGCAGAAAAGCCCTGGACTTCAGGAGCTTTGGCAAGTCGTTTCAGTGGTGGAGAACATCTCACTGTCAATAGAATTTAGCCCTTGAGCTGTTAGGTCTGGCTCAGGAATCCTCCAAGATACTTTACCTCTGCAGGACTCTGGAGGGAGTATGTCCTGTCCTTGAAAATGAATACCAGGGCATATGGTGCAAGACCAGCATGGATCTCTTTTAAGGCAGCTGCTGATCACTGACCCTTTGATAGTCTCTTGGCAGGGGAAAAAAGGGAGCCAGGGATATAGTGAAAGCAGTATCTACTGTTATTTGAAATAATAATTTAAAAAACCCACTCTTTTATGGAGACTATAAGAAAATAATTTGGTTGACAAAGAGCTGTGGGCCAGCACAAGCCACATCCTCTAAACCACTCCTATACCTACAAAGTGTTTGGAGTTATTGTTTGAAGCATCTCCAGAGTCCATGATGTTCTTGCACACTTTGGCATAAAATAGCATAAAACGGGTTAAGGCGCAGACTCCAGAAAGGGAGGTCTGGCTACCTTCCAGTATTACAAATATTCAGGGGAAAAAGAAAGCAAAGAAAAGCCCCCACGGCTCCAAAGTACCCCCAGAAGGTCTCCGGAGCAGCGCGGCGCTCAGCTGCCAGACGCCCGCCCAGCTGCCATGGACAG